GTATTGCAGTGGGAAATTAATGTTAATCATGACGGACTAAAAAATTAGTCTAGAAAGTTCCAAATACCACTAGTATTAGTCATTAAGATGTATCGATATCATTGCTAATAGAATACAAATATAAATCTAAGTATGACCCGCCTTTTATTTCCGGTTAGCTGTGAGATTAATCTACACTCGAGACTTAATTATTAGTTCGTTGTCTATTGAGGGCAAAATAGTAGGTAGAAGACTTCGCTGCCAATAGGTCATTTATATTGCTCGAATTTTGAGTACAAAGTAGGAAAAGACTCGTGGCTTTGTTTCATATGAAAATGGTTTCGCGATAGTCCATAATAAATCAATGTTTGAACTCCAACCAATTAATTTCATTCTACGCAGTTACAAAGTGCTTCATTAGTTATTATCGAGCAATCCAAATGTCTATATCAGCCATACTATTATAGATAGTATTTATCGTATTGGTCATTTAGTTTCATGAATAACGAATAGAATATAAAAAACAAGAGTAAATACAAATTCGAATTTAAGAAGGTATATAATTTTGCCGGAAAAGTTGGCACAAGTTTCAGAATATGCTCCCTATTTCTAGCACGGTTTTTTCCTTTGTTGGGATTTTGGGAGAAATCCAAACTAGAACAAAATCTGTTTCCATTGCGGATAGCGAGATTAATCGCATAATCTACTCAAGAATGAAGACCCATTTAAATAATGATAAATTCTTGAACCAAAGGATTATTGACCTAGCATATTGAATGAGGGTTTAGTTATTAAGGATAACTTAAGACGATGAAGGATTTATTGCGATTTTGGCACAAGATGAGTAGGCCTAACGATTCCAGTGAATCTCACTTAATCTTGTTTCCCAGAAGGTATTTCAATCATTTCAGTTTCGACCTCGCATGGGTCTAAGTAGCTCCTATAAAGGAAATCGAACTCAGGTAATGTTGTGCATAATTTTAAAATGTCAACTCTACGCCACACTGCCAAGAGTGTCATTTGGTCAAAGGGCAGAAGTGAATTTCAAGGAAAGGTGGCCCTCTAATGTATAAAATTTTTAGTGGGGTTGTCACTAAAGCAAGCGTGTATTTGCCATTACAGTCTAAAACTTTACATGTATTCGTCGTATTAATGCC